AGAACAATTAATTTCACTGAGCTTATCTCTCTTTCAAACCAATTGATTTTGTCCCTATGGCTAATAAATGAAATTAAAATTGGCCTAGGGGCCTGACCACTCCCTAATCTCCGGCAACATGAAATATCCTTGACAGATAAGTTTGTCTCAGCTCTATTGAATAAAGTTTTTATTGTTTCATAGACATCTTCAGGCTCTTCTCTTTGAGGCTCAGGAATATTATATATGAAAGTATTATCTTTAATTAGTTCTCGTCTGAGATTATTTATTTCTTCCTCCTGCATCTCTACTTTCTTTTCTAATAGGGTCGTTTGACTTTACCAGCTTGAAGTTCCTCAATTATTTCAGATATTTCTTGTTTTTTTGACCGAAATCGTTTCCAATGGATTCAGTGCTTTTTGTGTTTATTTTTATTCCAGTCATAATAACCATCTAGCGTTATAGAAAATACATTTGCGCGGGCCTAAGCGGAAGTGTTTGATGAAATTTGATAAAATTGATTGGGACGATCAAGACACCAACCCGCACAATCTCTTATAATTTCATGAAAATCGAATAACGGTAGTAGGCGATATGCCCTTACATCTATTTGATTATAGACTGACAGACACAGAATTAAATTTGATCCTTGATGTCTGAAACGTACAACGCGATTGGAAAATTTCGATTCTTATAACAAATTTGTTTTACCTCTCACAAAAATACAAAGCTTCCCTAACTTCGGTAGTAAGGAAGCAAACAAATGTAGCCGCTCAACGCCATTTCAGAAACACACATTGAATTTTTTTCTTACCTCTTCTGGGTCCAGATAATATTTTTCATATCAAGAAATTGCAGTCACGGTCAGAAGTATCCCACACCACAGCTTGAGGGAAAGGAGAGTTAATTGAATTAAAACCCTTAATATACCTCTGCTAAATGACGTTAAGAAATAATATCTTAATAGTTTCTTGGGAAATAATATAGTAGCTAAATGATTTTAACGGTTGATTGTGCTGTTGTATTGTCTAAAAAAAAAGTCATCACCGGATACAATTGACCTATTATGTGGAAGAACCATTCAGTCTCGTTTTTAATTTCATTTTGAATTTTGGTCAATACATTTTATGGTTACTGCGATTACAAAGTCGCCGCATTTGTTTTTCTTCCATTACAATTTTTGATTCATATTTTATTAAAGCATTACCAAGTCGAAGTGATGTTTTTCCTAATCGACTGTAACCTTTTCCAATTAAATTTTAACCCAAAGGAACATGTTATATTACGTTAATAATGTATTTTATTTAGTTATTTAAAATTGAATATAGGCACTTGCCAACTACAAGAAATAACAAAAATCTGATGCGGTACACGCATCGCACAAATTTCACTTACCTCCTCTTCTTTTTTTGGAAATTTCATACCAGACTAATACGACTAGAAACCACCCGACGTTTTCGACTATTGCAGCATTTACTAGACAAACGCTCTAAACTTCCAACTATTAAAAAAAGACACATATATATTACTATAATAAGGCCCATTTGGACTATGGGATCGATGTTTGGGGCTCTACTAAACCATCAAATTCCTCTCGTTCTTTGTAAAATTATCAATGCTCCCTACTTTGTCACAAATAAAATCATCCATAACGACCATAATGTACTGTATGTTTCCGATTTAGCTAAATCCTATCTCTCTAAAATAAACTTCTGAACCCTCTTGTCTCCAATCTTGGTTCCTCTGCTATTCCTGATAACCGTCCAATGCGTCTGAAAAGAAAATGGCCTCGGGACCTTCTTATATAGAAATATAATTGGAGTGCTACCAGTGGGTAGTTTCTCTTCATGTTGTACATGTCATGTTACTTGTTTCATATATAATTGTTGTATTAAGCATTTAATACAGTTGTCAATTTCAATAATATAATTTTTTTTAAATACCTCTTTTTATCAGAAATAAGTATTTTCAGAGAAAGTGGAAATTATAAACGCTGTATTGATTTATATTTCATTATAAGTAAATAAAATACTTATTTATGTCATGTATACTAATTTAAATAGTTATATCGCAGTAATCTATATAATTAAATATTAAATAATGCCAACAATAGAATTTTTGAAAACCGCATATGTATATTTGCATAATATTGTCGGAGTCTATATTATATTAAGCTCATTTTACGTATGGAAACGTGTTCTTATCTTTCGGGTGAGCTTGGGTGGACTCCTTTGGTTGGAGAATTCCTTTGGTTCCTCAATTACAATAAGAGGAAAGGTATAGTCTCGAGTTCGCGTCCCAGTGCGGGGAATCTTTTAAATCCCTGCCCACAGCTCCTAGCCCGGGAAAATCCCGTATAGCTTTAGAGGCGAGGGAGGGGAGGACCCAACAAAAAAAAAATAAATAAATAAAAAAAAATAATAATCAGGGAAAATTGGACGGAAATAATTAGGGGTTGCGGGATTAGAGGTTTTCTTCAGTGAACAAACATGGACAGTTTTCCAGGTTCTGGGAAAAGTGAAACTTTTTATTGAAAAGTTATAGATTAAAGATTTGGAGAATGGATGGAAGTGAGGATTTAACTAATTTAATTTTAATATTATCTGGTCCGAAATCATTGGCTTGGGATTTACGAATGGATTTAAGGAGATCACAATGGGTAATATAAGAAAGAAAAAAGTATTGGAATTTGAGGATGGATAAATGAGGGATAGAACTGGTGCTTAGAAAGAGGGATAGGAAGAACATGAAACAAAATGAGTGCTGAGTACCTCAGCTAAAATAGAGGTAGTCTGGATTCGAATGGGTTTGCCTAAGTATAATTTAAGGATGACTGACCACATGCCTTTGGAGTTAGGAGTGATGGATAAAGATTGTTCAAAGTAATGGGATTTGGCACAGCTTAGCAAGGATTGGATACTGTTTCGAAGCAGCTTGAAGTTCAAATAGTCTGAATGTCGAGCGCGCTTAAACCTTTTTCCAGCCGCACCTCCTCGTTGAATACAATATTTTATCCCAGGCGTCAACCAAGGGTCTGGGGGCCGATATAAGGTTAAAGCTTCCATTATTTCATTTTTATTCTGTTATATATTGTAAAGAGTGATCAAATTTAAAATATTTCATATAAATAAAAATACTAGAAATAAAAACAAAGGAAGTTTTTAGTATATTTATTTACTTAGCCCGAAGTAGAAGAGCCGCGGGCTGGAATGTCATAAAGATAAGGAAGGATTGGAGGACAAAGGGTGGCACAAGACCCTTGGGGAGTGGGTCAGCAGAAGTGAGGCAGTAATCGGGAAGTCTGGGAAGAGACATGTTTCAATTCATGGGATAGAGGATAGAATAATTAATCCTCTCATCCTTGAGCCCAACCTATCACTCCACATCCCTCGTAAAACTTCTCGATGTCCTGGTATTGACATGCTAGAAAATTCAAAATTTACTTATTATAAATGAAATAAAAAACTCTAAATCTCGAGAAGTTGGAAAACCCACTCGAAAAGTACTTTTCGAAGAGATAGCATCAAAATAATTTCGTAATGATACGATGTGAGGCTGATTGCCAGGCAGAAACCTTAGAGATGAGGCTTCCTTTCCATTGACGTATCTCATCCTGCATTCTAATAATATAATCCTAGATCACCATTTTGGATTCCAAATATTTAACTCAACCATACAGTGTGATGGACGTAGTTTCCTCTGAATCACAACGCTAAATGTACTGGAGTCTTTCTTAATTTAGAACATAAAAATATTATTAGGTCTGGCCAAAGGGACTGCTTTTCGAATTCTTTAAATTTCTACTCCTAATGTACTTTCAGGTCGTCCGTTTCTACTTAATTTATAGCTCATTCCAAATGAATAACAATAGTGCCGATTCACTCCTATTTCTTTATTCTGCTGGTGTTTCTCTCTAAAATCCCTTATAACATTGTTATCCCTACTTACGACACAAGTGTGCTGGCTCTCAGACCCATTAATCGCTTCCCATACATTTCAATCACATATCAAAAATTGTGCAGAATGGTGTCAAAACTTTACACTTCTTCTTAAATATATGAGGTATTGTCCCACAGTAATCTTTAATGATATTCCGCTTATCGCTCTTGAACCAATCCGATATACAGGAATCCACCTGGACAAATGTCTTACCAGGAATCCTCATTACATCATCATTGGACTTAAGTTTGAAAGTAGAGGGCAATTCATCTTTCAACTGATTTTTGAGAATAGTTGGGTGTTGAATGGAATTAGATGCAGAGCATGGTAGAATCTATTATTTTGGACTCTTAGAAATTCTGCATCATCACCTGTATTAATTAATGTCATTGCTTTTTGAATTCTGGGGACAGAATTGAGAAGAATGAGGATGAGGAGAGAAACAAAGCAATAACGAATATTTTTAAATACATAAGCATTGGTAAATAGGATGAAAGTCTCTTAAAACTATTTTCCTTGACTTTTTTTTTTCATTTATATCTTTTCATTGATAAATAATAAATTTTGCCACACTTAAGGGGACTGAGTACTAAAGCTGAGTGAGGCACATTCATACAATATATACAATACAATAAAAAAAAAAGCCTCTCAGCCGCGTCGCCGGCATTACCAGTCCGGTGGAGACTGAGAGAGGGCACAAACACTCATGATTTGAATGGTGAAACTGGTCATTGCGAGAACACCAGTGTTTACAAAAGGTCTCGAGGCCACTGCCGTTTCAACCTTCGAGGAGGATTGTAGGGATGACTGGAACTACATAAGGATTGTGCTAAGGTATTAGGATGTTGGATTAGGTTCAGGTGAAAATTTGAGAATCGGGATGGAATAACGTCAAGGACATAAGGGATGTAAAATTTTCCTTAACTAGATATGGTCAAATCAAATGGAACAGTAAGCTGATTCAGTTAAAAACTCAAAGTACAATATTAGATTAATATAAATAATTTGTTATAGATTATGTTATAAATATTATGTTATAGATTATTAATCCATGATTAAAGAGGCATATAGAAATAAAAAACTTTTGTAACATCTTTTTATTCCTGTATTGTTAATTACATAATTACAGTTAATTATATTATTTTCTCAACTTTATTGCAAATAACTCAGAAGTGTCAGGTTTATGATCTTCGTTCCTACTGAAGTTTTTACAGTCGTAGCGCAGACATTTGAAATCTATCTGCAGCATTTTGCTGATTGTTAAATTCACGCAGATATTGAATTTCGGGCAAAAAAAAGACCTGTTCCACTCGAAATCAAGCCAGTATATATTAATGCAGAGAAATATTAGCGGTGGTGTAAGAGGTAAACAGAACGATCCGACTGAAATAGATATGCACAGTGAAATGAATTAGTAATTTTTTAAAAATTTCTATTATTTTTCTGGTAAATGTGTATGCATATATATGATTGTTCTAACAGTTTCCATTGCAACCTAGAGCTGCTAAAAGACCAGTGGAATTCAGCCTGGAATCAACCGTCTATGGCAGCAAGCAAAGATGGAATTTTCCCAAACTTCATTAAATAACGAGAAAATAAAATGATAAAATCATTGTAAGCACATTTCTAATATAGGACGATAAGTTTTCTCCAAACGATTGGGAATACAATATCATAGAGTCAGTTTATAAGAAGTATGCAGCAAAACTAAATGTGACATCTACATGTATATTTGTCTATCCTCGGTGACCTAAAAACTGCTCAATACTATTCGAGAAAACTGATTAAGGCCACTGATTGAATAAGGAGATGAGACTGATTTCCATATAATCAGGACAGACTCCTGCCTAGGAAGAAAAACCCAAGACCACATTTGCTCTAGCACACGTATAGAAAAGGAATGGAATAGAAATCGAAGAATATATGTCGCTTTCCTAGACTTGAAGGATCCTTCAGCTCAGCACTATGAAGACCTTCTGGCAGAAATCAATTCAACGTAGCAATCCCCTTGAGAAATAGTGCATATAAGTGACCGAGATTACCAGCCATTTTCCTGAGAACAAGGTGTGAAATAAGGGGAGAGCTTGAGCCCGTTATTCTTTATTGCCTCCATCGATGAAATACATAAAATATGCACAAGACAAACTAGGTAATTGGTACATAAGCACAGTTCAAGTGCAGGCTTTCCAATTGCAGACCACATAGTGCTAGTTAATAGACCATTGTAAAATGGCAACAAGAAATCGCTCGTAAAGAAGTGAGTTTCAATAAGCATTAAAGCAAGATTTTGACTGCAGTAAGTGATAAAAGAAATGTGAGAAATGTAAGGATGTTATCCAATGGGTAGGAGTTAGATAACATAGAATACTATTAGTCCACTTAATGATTGGTCCAAAAGAGGGTGTATAGTGCTTGAGCAAAGACCTAAGAAATTCTTTCAGAAACTTGTTCAGGGTGCTTGGGGTGTGAATATCAAAAGTCCTGATGTCAAGGTGGCGAACCGGAAGGGGAGGCAAGAGAAAATGTCACAATTTCCAGTTTTCCGCTTATATCTCGAAAACGGTGCATTGTAGAAGAAAATAGTCAAATAATAAATGAAAGTTTATAAAGAAGAGAAGAATAGTTGGGGTGCTCAGTCAAAAAAGGAAGGCTAAAATAAATTATAATATTTATTTTTTACATCTGCCGACGTTTCGACCTAAAGTTCAGGCCATCATCAGGGCTTTCTCCTAAAATGTCAAAGTGAGAATCATTCTCAGGGGGGATCACAGGATCACCTTCTTTAAAGACGCCTCGAACGGTACCAAAACTTAATAATATATTTTACTGTTAATATAAAGTCTTTATTTAAATAATAATGATGTAGAGATGGTTGACCGTTGATATAATATGAGAAGGAGTTAGTCGGGGAGGTGCGGTCAGATAAATACTAAATTAAAATATAGTAATTATATAATTTTAATTTTGCCGACGTTTCGACCCACTTTGCAGGTCGTCTTCAGGGCTACAAAAGATACAAAACATGTTGAGAATAAAAATTAAATATAAGTAGATATAAAATAAGAAGAAGTTGTCAGATACAGAAATAAAAGATGATATCAGAGATATAGTGGGTGACAATGTACTAAATTTTAAGTATTATATATGTAGAAGATACAAATAAATGGAAAATAAGTATGAATAAAAAATGAATAAAAATAAAAATAAAGGAGAATATAGCATGTAAGTTAAAAGTAAACAGATTGCGATAAAAGATAAGGAATAAGTGTATAACAAACTAATAGAGATTACATTAGATAACTGTGGGTTAACAGATAAAGAAAATGAATGTTAACGAATAAATAGATAGAAAATTGAATAAGTAATGTTACAGTAAAGTTAAAATAAGAATAAGATAACATAATAATAAGATATCAGTGGATAACAAGCAAGTTGAGGTTACCTTTAATTGCAAGTAAACAGATAACGGGACTAAAGGTTAAGAAGTGAAGAAATTGAAAGATTAATAGGGTAACATTAGTGTAATATCGTTAGGATAGATTATCAAGTATAAATAACTCTATAAGAAAAAAATAATTTTAAAAGAGAACTTTAAAATGTAAGAATAAATGTAAAACAAGGTTATAATGATAAAGAAACAAAAAAAAGTTGTACTATATATAGATGACAATTGACATTCAGTTTTTTGAAAGCGATAATGGAATGGTAGGCTGCATGAAGATAATAATAGGTGTATAGTTGAAGGATAGGTGAGTTAAGAAAAGAATCACAATAAAAGTCAAATACCGTAGGATGTAGCACTGCGGGAGGCAGTTGAAACACTGGCAGTATCAAAAAAAGCTCTAGTAAGCAGTGTCAAAAAAAGTTTCTAGTAAAAATAAATACATACATATACACACACATACATACATCCATCCAAATATATACAAACACAACTTCTGTATCTGACAACTTCTTCTTATTTTATATCTACTTATATTTAATTTTTATTCTCAACCCGTTTTGTATCTTTTGTAGCCCTGAAGACGACCTGCAAAGTGGGTCGAAACGTCGGCAAAATTAAAATTATATAATTACTATATTTTAATTTAGTATTTATCTGTCAGCATCCCCCGACTAACTCCTTCTCATATTTAAATAATAATTTGATTCTATTTTGTTACATTAAATACATACATAGAAACAAAAGAATATAAAATTGATACAATAAGCTAATGAGCCTTAGGGGTAGAGGCTAAATCAATATTTAAAAAATTAGAAACCTAACTGTTATCACTGTTCTCAATAATTTCTTAATACTACACTCTTTACTTTATATCGATTAACGTTTTCATCTTCTTTGGGCTTGAGGGTACACCCTTCGTAGAGAATATCAAAGCCTGATAAGTCAAAGAAAAGGGAATACGGGGCCTTATAAAGCTAGCGAGGAACGGAAAGACAACAAGCACCAAATTTTCCGTGGTTTGACATCCCCCTTTATTCACACAAGTTGTCACAAAAACTGATATATAGAAACTCAGACCGCCAAAACTCAGGCCATTTTCATTGCTTCCAAGCCCCTTCTTAGATCCCATCAAGACTTTCCCATCCTTCACCTTAATGACCAGCCAATCTCCTTCTACTCCTCAGTTAAAAACTTAGGATTTTTCATTGATCAAAACCTCCTTTGGAATCATCATATTTCTCATATCTCTCGACCAAATCATCAACAGCCATCGTCCTTCTTACGCCTACAACCTTCTCCAGTTCAAATCCTCAGTCCATTCCCTGTCCACAAGATCTCGACCTTCTAATCTTTACATGCCTTCTCACAGATCTGCCTCATTCCAAAATTCCTTTGTTGTTCGCTCTGTCAATTTCTGGAATTCCCTCTCTATCAAAATTCGACATTCCCCATCCATATCCAAATTCAAAACCCTCCTATTCCAATTCCTATCCCAAGAACAGTCAGATAGTTGCTAACCATTCGAGCTGATTTTAATAGAGAATTCGATACATACAAATTCATTTATTGATTCATTGATACATTTTTAATTTTAATTCTTTATTATTTTCTCAAAAGTGTATACGAGTCTATCAGTGCAAATAGCTTTAAGTGCCTTTTCATAGTATTAATTGTTTTGTATATAGTTTCGTTTTTTGTAGATAGAATGTTTACCTTATATTTTTTTTACATTATTTCTTTTTTTGATTGATTTTATTTTGGTCAGATGTGATCTTTTAATTTTGTTCTTTTTTGTTATTCTCAAGAGACTGTGTCCCAGAATAAAATTATTTTTCTATCTATCTATCTATATATATATATATATATATATATATATATATATATATATATATATATATATATATATATATATATATATACATATAAAACCAAACAGATACAATTAACAAATATGTAAGTACCTGCATACATCTAAGAAAGAGAGTCCCAGCTTAGGAATCAAGCGAATAGCACAGACACATGTCCTCCCAGAGACGACAATCTTTTACTCTAAATGGCGAAGACGAAGAGAGTAGAAGAAACGAAAAGAAAATGATATACACTGAGAAATAACTGAATTGGAGTTGTTAGACCAAGAACGTTCATATCACCAAGTATGTACCAAGGATTGTATAACTGGAAAATGTTGATGCCGAAAATCAATGTTGACCTGTTCTGAAGCGTCCCTCCATTGCCAAGATAAATACCTTAACAAAGTGCCTTTGGCCATGGACGACGATGAAGACGACGTAGAGCCCATTCAGTAAGAACGACCCTTGCTACCACCCTCACGGCCAATGAGGATGAAGACGTGAATCCATATAAAGTTGTGTGTGTAATATTAAGAGGTTATTGAGAACAGTGATAACAATTAGGTTTTTAATTGCATGTACTTAATATAACAAAATAGAATGGAATTATCATGGAAATTTTTATTACCTGTAAAATGCAATATTAAATTTTCCAAGTAACACGATTTTTTCTACCTTATTTATTAAATAGATTTAAAGTGTGGAAAATATATTATTAGACGAAAGTTGAGGATCAACAATATGATAAAAACGACGTTTTCTAAAAAGTAAAACATTTTATGAAAAAGTTCAAATTAGCTATAACTGTAGATTGGTTCTAGTATAATTTGCATATGTATATACATACATATATATAAGTTAGCTGTATATAAGCCATAAACAATAATAAGAACTATGTTACTGATAGGATTAACAAAACATTGTAAGTGAAAACAAACTGTTACTATATATATGGGATGAAGTAAATAATAAAGTTAGTTGCTCACGAACCTGTGTACTGTTACTATGCCCTAAAACCCTTTTTTTTTTCGATCAGTCTTTCAGTCTAATCGTAAGTTATATATATATATATATATATATATATATAT